TTCAGCTTACACCTTTCTAAAGACTATGTGACTCTGTGTACATAACAAAAACTACAACACCACCACCACCAATAATAATAGTAATAATAATAATAATAATAATAATAATAATAATAATAATAATAATAATAATAATAGTAATAACAGTATAGATTGCATTTATATTGCGCTATATTCCATATTATGAATAAAAACTCTGATCGTTTTACATCGATCACTGAGCATAATACTTTATTCCCACAAGATAAAACTTTTCACATTAACTAGAAAATCAATTTAACAACATAGAGAGAACTTTCTCAATCATACATGAATGATATACACGTAATGACAGCAGTGAGAGCAAATCGTTTCAGTATTTACTAACACATTACAACTAAAAGTGGAGTCTTGAGCAATCGCTTGGGATTTGTTCATGTCTGAGGTCCTAGGGTAAGGAGCTCCATATTTTAGAGCCCACAAAAATGAGAAACTTCTCTCAACAAAATAATCTTCATTTCATTCTAGGGGGCTCTGAGTTATTTTGTAGCGTCTGAGGATGAACGCAACTGATGGGATGCAGCATAATGTGGTATTAAAAGCTCAGACAGATATTATGAAGCATTATTGTTAAGGCATCAACAGATAGTACCGTAGAAATTTTATATTTGATTCTTTTATCAACTGGAAGCCAGTGCATAGCTTCTAACTAACAATTTTTATGCAGGACATAATTTAGATAATTTCAATGCACAATACGTACACAAGGACAGCTGGACAAAAATACAATATGTACTTTATAGTTATACTCATTGTTTATACAAAAAGTTACAAAGAGCAACGTTTAAAGTCAAACCCCCACCCCCACAAAAAAGAACTCATCGCCTCCCCCCCCCAAAGAAAAACAACAACAACAACAAAGACAACATCAACTACAACAAAACAACTTATTCTAAAGAGAAGCTATGGTCAAAAATTGAACGCTTTTTCCCCCTAATAACAAATAACTCAACGAGTGGAACAAACAACACAAAAAACTATTCCTCACACTCCTTCACCCCCAACCTCTGTATCCATTCTTTTTCTCATTTTTCAAACTTCACTTAAGGCAACATTGGTGAGCAGAGCATTTTATTTTAAAATCAAGGCCTGAGCTCAAGGACCTAAACTTAAGGAGCAATGTTTTCCATGCCACCCCCTTAAAGACATGAAAGACAACGTAGTTGTAGACTGAGGAAAGTTGAGACATCCTTCGAGATCTCCTATTCCCCCCTTACAGCACGAAATATCTAGCACACCACCATAATATTAATATTATCATAGACTTCTTGGAGTTTTCCTCAATGAAAGGCTGCTTTCTAGCATTTTTTTTGTCATAATGGAGGGCAAATGAACATTATATTTAGCGGGCTAAACAAGTATGAATAATCTTTTGGAATATAAACGTATTTGAATTTTAGTTTCTCACTCTCCCAAGTATATTCCCTCCCTGAGCAAGGAGTGAGCCCCCCTCCCACCAAAAATAACAACAAAACAAAACAAAGCAAAACACACACCTCACCCACAAACAACAACAAACAACAATAACAGCAACAAAAACAAAAACAGGTGTCGTGATCGCGATGTTAAGTTCTGGAAATTCAATCAATGTTTATCCACCCCCCTTGTCGATACTCACCGCTGTATCTAATAATTCGGTACTTTCTCTTTACAACCCCCCCCCCCCCCCAAACAACAAACCCAGTCAACATATGGACAAAAAAAGAACAAACGACAATACCGAAAGTGACCCCCCCCCCACCTTACCACCACCACGTAGATATAAAAAAAACCAATTTTGTTTGGTTTTTAAAGGGATTTATTTGGACATGCAAATTTGAAAGTGGGAAAAACTCCGAAAAGTGAAACAAAACGGTTAGTTAGGAAATAAAGAAAAGATCGATAAATACACTCGGTTTAAATATCCGCAAACTATCAGGAAAAGGAATGAAGGGGGGTAAAGGGAGATGTACCCAGGTAACAAGTCCATAAACTTTAATATAGAACACACAAATTTAATGGACAAAATATTCTGGAATTATATAGACACCAACGCAACCACCAGGAAAAATAACAAATATTTTTTTTTTTTTTTTCCCTGCGGGGGGGGGGAGAAATATTTTTTTGGTGCTTAGGGCGGGGGGGGGGGGGGGGGAGGCAACTGAGGGGGCTCTGATCCAGCATTTCGATACTTTTGGGTCTTACATTTGTTTCTGGGGGGGGGGGGGGGGTTGACCTCCCTTGAAATTACTCAACTGAGGGTGTTGACAGATACATTGTTCCCACCCAAAGCCCCGACCTTGACTTTTGACTTACAAAAAAACAACATGTCTCTAAACATTTTACATTGTGAGAAGAACACAAAGAAATTTGAGCAGTAATGCGTGGCAGCCAGGAGTGGGAGGATCTGCCTCGCCATGTTAGTCATGGACGTATTGCTGTGCACGAGGTAAGCGTGCAGACACACCACAGGAGTGACAGTCAAAAAGAACATCCCGAACACTGTGATGACCATTCTCACTATCTTCCAGTTCGATTTCAAAGAGCGGAGACGATGTCTTTCGTTTGCAGCAGCCAAAAAAGACAGTTCTTGAGCTTGAATGGCTTGCATGTGCCTATGGCTGATGATAGCAATATGGACATACACAGTACAGATAACAGCACTGCATAAAAAATGAACGATTGGGTAGACCAAAGCAAACCTCACCGGCGCGTCCTTAACGCTGTTGACCACTTGTTGTTTGATTAGTATATCCAGTCCAGCAAAAAATGAAAATAACCAGATGATAACTAAGATGAGACAGATACGTTTGTTACCTACGAGTCTTTCGTGAAGAAAGGGACGGACAATGTAAACCCATCTCTCGAAGGCGATAGACATTAAGTGAAAATAGTTGGACATTTTCCCACAAACGTACATAGAAGAAACAAAAGAAAGCCAGGCCCGAGAATTTGGCATGAATGCCCTACCCGTATTCATTATAAGGAGCGTCTCTATGGCGTACCCAGCCTCGCCAACAGCATAGATGGTGTCCGTAGTTGCTAGGGAAGCAATGAGGAAGTTGGTCGGAGTCCTGAGTCGTTCAGACCGTAGAATTACGAAAACAACGACTGAATTCAAGAGGACAGAAAGGGTGTACAGTACAGAATGGACGACGTAGTAGTATGGCTCGTGATATTCTGAAACAGTTGATGTCTGGACGGTTGTCATAACATTTCCATTGAACGATTCAGGAAACATCTTCAACGACGCAGTTTCAGCCTGAGATCTATATCTTTCTCTATCTATTTTCTCTATCTGTTTCTACATATTGCTGAAGTTAAATGCGCAGAGAAAGCAATCCATTCTTTAGAACTCCAAGACAAAGAGGTACGAATACTACGTCATGTATTCCTGGAAATACGGGACACTGTCCTGGAAATACGGGACACTGTCCTGGAAATACGGGACACTGCGGTTTCCTTTAAACATGACAGGTAAAAGGAACAGGCCACTAGACCAATAGAATGACGTTTCATTTCGTTTCCTTGACGCGTTTCCAATTTAGATGTCTTGCCTGTTGCTGAATGCGACATACCTGCAAAAGGAAAGAGAATTATATGTGAATGTCATTTCGAAAGGATTTCCAATGAAAATCTTAAAAAAAACCCCAATTAAAAAGCAAAAGGGAAGAGTTCAATGTTCTGCAAATGTCTGTTGGTAGCGATTTAAACAATTCGGCCTATTTTTATAACAGTTCTTTTAATCTATATGCATATATCAGAAATCAAGAGGTCAATATGAGTTAATGGACACATTTGTTAACAAAACAAAATACTAATGAGCAGATGTAATGTTCAGTCCAGGTTTTCTGTGGTATTTGTGACTGTTCTGTTTTCCAATCTGTTTGAAAATATCATCAGAAGATGCTGTTCATTGCAGAGATAATAATGTTCTCGATTTCTTTGGTATTCAGTCAGTGGTGGGGCGCCATTGGTGCAATTGGTGCAAGCGCTCCACCTAACCCTGGCCTTCAAACCCCCCCCACCCCTACCCCCTTTTCTAAGTGTTCTAAACCAGTTACTGCTCTCGATCTACATCCTTGCGATCCGCCACCTGCTGGCTGCGCCAATGAAGAGACAGACGGCGAGGATGGTTTATGTTCGTCGCACCGCTTGCGGTAGTGTCTGCTGGGAGCAAGCAAAATCTTTGCACCAAAGTTATTTTTGTCACTGTAGAGAAATCTAGGCATCGTTCTTCCCGCACAAGAAGAAAGGTGCATGAAACTGCTCTTCGCCGCACCGATTTGGTGCAAGCTGAAAATTTGATCCAAGTTTCCGCGAGCCTATCTACCACACTAGTAGAGTCTACGGTAACTCAATGAAGAATGGGTATTCAAACTGTTGTCTCCCTCTAATTGTGTAGCAAGTCCTGGTGCTGCACGAAGTACATGTAATTAGAAATCTGTAATCTTCTCAGATTGTGAGCCTAGTGAGTTGTTAGTATTGTTTCACTTTATTGCAGCTTTTATGTGGTTTCATCTAGAAACAGTTGTAAATATCGATAGATGTAGTTTACGGGATATCTTGCAGATTCTAATTGACTTTCTCTAGAAATCTTAATAGCAGCTACAAAGCCTATTGCCCATTTGCTCACTTTCCAATTATGCACCACCTTGTCTGCAACCCACGCGATGTCACTGTATTCAGTACATGTACATTCCACTAATGCGGATGCACCTCAATAAAGATGAGAACACGATTTCATATTTTTTTGATTACACACAAGTTTGCCCAGCCCGATTGTTTAGGATAAATTTTGAGTGACCACATCTCTAGCGACTCTTAACATAGACGAAATATTAATGTGCCAGACAGGGGCGGCTCGTGGCGCTAAAAAGTGGGCGTGCACAATTAAGCAACATCAGGTTGAAGATTATCAAGGACATAGTAAATGGGATGTAGGATCTTTGGGATGGTGAAGGAGGACCTTATGCTTTTATTTTCATTCTTTTTACTGGTCGCTTCGATTTCTAGAACTAGATCTAAATCTGTTTGTTAGCTAAACATCAATTTCTTTATCCTGCATTGGAACTGAACACTCGAGTAATAACTTTCACCACTCCACAACAAAACCATTCAAAGGCACAACCCATAGGGCGGTGAGTTAAGACACGTAAGTATGTCACGTTCACCACCCTCAGGTTCACGGTCACAGAACCGCTTAAAATAGTGGGAAGACAATGAACCAATCACAGTTCACTTGAGCACTCCGCTGGATTGCTCCGGGGATCACATAATTTTGGCATTGAATAGTGTACAGGCCATCGCGTTAATTTTTAGACTGCCTACTGCGGGCTATGTTTCGTGGGTGCACATTTGAGATGTGCCGTTTAGGCTAGTTAATATTAATGTACCGCCAAACTCGCTAGGAGTGTCGTCATCGCTTGGGTTATCCCAAAGAGCGATTTATAGGTCAGATTGCCAAAGTGGAATATTCTATTACGTTTAGTTAAAGCGCGTGGACTTTGGCATGGCATAGTAGTAGATGTTTTACGGCGCTTTTGACACCAAAATGACTGTTACAGCGCCTGTGAGGACCTTGTTTTGAAATTATAATTGGGTAGTGTTTGTTTCTGTGCATCGCTTTAACACGATGAATGGGTGATCACATTTTCAATTTTCTTCAGGACGCCACTGTATGTAT